AGTGGAAAACATAGAGCTGAACATAATAATTGATAAAAACTGTGCACTGTAAGTGTTTCACCTGTAATTTGACGGTGCAGATCTCTTTTGCTGTAGTGTGATTTTCCAGGCAGACTGCTGCACGCTTCTATATCCTGAATACAAACTGGGCCATAGGGCTCACTCCCATCTTGTCTTTTTCACTCCTTTCTGATTACACGGAGGAATAACAAGACACACACATTCTGTCTAAATTCTTTAGGGAAAAATGAAACCCAACAGGCAGCTGGCAGTCAGGTAAAAGACAAAATTTAGGAAGTGGCTGCAGCAAAATAGTGAATCTGCAGTTAACGCTGAACTTGGTAGTATCTCAGAAAAAATCCTCAATTCTGCAAGAAATTTCCCGGTAACAGAATTTCATGCATCATGTAGCCACAAATAGGTACAGCTAAACTGTTATGAACTTCTTATTCTATGTTGACTGTCAGTTCTGTTATAACTTTGGGATTTCTCTGCTGTGGGATTCTCACTAAGTCTGCTGGGACTTCCTGCAAAATCTGTGGGTGGGTTGTTGTAAACAGGGCCCCACTCCTGCAAGCTGATCTGCCTGGGCAGATTCTTAACGCCTGTTGAGAATCCAGATGAAGTCAATCACCAGGAAGGCATGAGGGTCTGCCTGTATAGATCAACTTAGAACAAATGGTTGGAGCTTGTAAGCAACACGAATAATGAAGATCCTTTAGCAGGTTTATTCTTTATTCCTGATAATCTCTGCTTTACCTTTGCTGTGGTTTTGCTTAATGTTTATTTCCTGTGCTATCTATTTATGTGTTTATATTTTAAATAAGATACCTACACAAGGAAAAGAAAGGCCCTATCAGGATGTGTATTTGCCTTAGCTTATCCTGTGATCTCTCTCTGTGGTAACTCCCATCCCTTCCCTGTTACACTTCTAATTTATGATCCCTTCCTATGCAACATATACTTCAAGTCTTATCGTGGTGCTGTTCATCAGTATCCGTGACTGAGCATCTGCATCTGTCTCTGAAATCAGTTAGAGGAGTGGAGGCATCCTCCCAAGCCTCTGCTCACACCCTATCTGCTCTTCATGGGCCTGGCTTAGAGGACAGTGCTCTGCTCTGAACCGAACACAAACTGCTTTGTGGCTCTCTGCTCTCTGGCTGAGTCAGAGTAACTGTAGGTCCTGGTTCAGCTGCGGAGGGCCAGCCTTAGCTGGAGAGAAAAAAATTGCTGGATTTATCCTGGAAAGCTTTTGGTCAGATCGATCCATTTCTTAAACTTGTTGCTAGCTGATCTTCCTGACCACATGAGCTGTAGACCAGAGTCCTCGCTTAGCTAGAAGTGGTAAGATGCACTCCTCCTTGCTACTCTGATCCACACGATGTGTATCTGGCAGTGGTTTTTGGATGGGACGTGGCAGGGGACCTCCACTTGTGTCACCACCTGCTCAGGCAGGCGTGGGCAGGTATGTGTGCCACGACAGCCACCCGTGATCAACGTCAGCAGCACATGCACCGCTGTCTTCCTTTGAAATAGCTAAAAAGAGAGGGGAGATGTGCAACTACAATATATCAAATCAGAGAGAAATACTTTCCGTTTCCTTCGGTTTGACCCAGAGCACTTCTGTGTCAGTGAAAGTCATCTCCTTTACTGTATGAGGGTCTGACTCAGGTCCCTAAAGAAGGTCTGTGCAAACTCGGGTTCCCAGATAAGAGGGCAGAGGTTCAGGTGAATCATAGAATCATTATGGTTAGAAGAGACCTCAAAGATCATCAAGTCCAACCGTGTACCCGATGCCACCAGTATTTCAAAGCAGTGACCTGTGCAGATAAAAGAAGAGATGAGGATTTCCTGCCTTGTTTTTTTTTTACGTGAGTAGCATCTGTTATGATTTAGCAACTACAAGTGTGAAACAAAAAGCACAGGGAATGCACATAGCGGTAAGAAACCCATGCACTGCTGGGACTGTCCCTGTAGTTAAACATATTTTAAATTATCTATTTTGTAATGTCAGGAAATTCCTTGAGTTTTTCTCTTATGACACAGGGGGGAAAAGCCACCATGTGCCTGATAACTTGAATTTGTTTTCTTTGATTTTTCTCATAAATTAAACTAGAATGTTTTAGAGGATGGGGCTGGTATGCTTTCACTAATTGTACACTGATTGCTAGCTTATTACATAAACTCTTGCATGTACGCAGATGAGCCATACATGGGTTTTTTTGCAACCTGCATTATTACTTTTTAATTTCTTGTTTGTGGAGTTGTTTGCAATTTGTGTGCAAAGTTCTGGACTTTGCTTGCAGGTTGAGATTAGGAAATGAGTTTCTATGAGACTCTGCATATAGCAATGTATCTCATTATTACCATTCATAGAGCTGGCTGTGCCTCTTTTGTGTGATTTAATATGATAAATGTAGGTAATTACAAACATCTTGTATCTAGATTTTAAAAAAATTCAAGAATGTTGATTCTGATAATTTTATTCGCTTATTTTTTTTAGCTCGCTGTGTAGAATTTCAGTATCTTTATTGAAATGTGGGCATCATTTGTAAATACTTTCTTCCTTCTATTTGTAAAGCTTCCCTCCTCTCCAGTTCTTGCCTTGCTGTCTGTTGTTACATGGGAAATCTGCAATCCTCTGTGTTATGTACTTACCAACGGAGTATTAGTTTTAGTAGGGCTTGTTCTTGTGTCAGTGTACCTGTTTTGATTTGCAAGATGTAATATTAAAAGTGTGTAGTGTTTCATAATTTACATAATAATAGTACAATTTTTCATGGTTAACATAATAAAAAATCTGCATAGTGCAAAAAGACCCCGCTCACATATGGTTTACATTTCTTTAGTACACAGTGCCATACTAAATGGAAACAGCCATGGTCTGAGAAATGTACTCTCACTGCAGAACAGTCTCAAGTTCTCTCTGCAGCACGTTTAGGAGGTGTTAATGACCCCAATAATGAAATGCATTCATTAAGAGTGGCACATGGCAGCACCCTGTAGTTAGGGTCCTGTCAGCATATTCATTGCATGTGACGTATTTCAGGCTTCCGTCAAAAGAAGCTTAAAATAATAGCTGTAGTTGGCTAGGCATATTTTCAGTAAATTTATATCACATCAAACAGTTTATTTTTGAACCATAAGAAAGAAATGATGTAATAATTATTTGGACTTCTGCTACACTAAGATTAACTTGCTAGGTTGAGAGTCTTATGGCAGTACAGTAAATTCTAAAAAAATAAGGGATTTATCAAGATCTGAAATTTTGACACAGTGACCTTATTCCTATGTCAAAAATGCATGCTGAAGTACTTTTTAACCAGTGTTTTTTTCCTTACTGTGTTTACTTTCCAGGCTTTTGGTGATGCTGCCATTAATAAAGAGATTTCTGAACTCAAAGTACACTGTGTGACCCTTGGATGCAGTTGGTCTGGTATCATGAAAAATTTTGAAGTACGTTTAAAGGCAGCTTATTTAAATTAACATGCACTCTTACTTGAATGGGCACAGAAAGACAATGAAACTAGGTTCTCAGCAAACGCAAATTAATGCAACATCATTAGAATCAGCAAAGGCGTCATGATTTACACCAACAGAGTATCTAAAAGCATGCCATTAACTTTAGTGGGGCTTTGACCAAATCCAGAACATCCTGAATGATTGTGAAATTAATGTTGCACAAATTTATGTCAACCATGATTTTTTTTCCCAGTGGATTTACTTATTATTTAAATGCAAGGGTGCTACAAGCAGGTTTTTACAGACCAGAATACTTCAGTCTCCAGGACGTTGTTATGGGCCGTATCCTTAGTATGTTTTTATAAGACAAATAATTTCCTCTTGCATAAGTGACTCCTATTGATTGTGTTCATCATTCTTCTCAGACTGATGTGAAATGCCCCAGGTAAAATATTTGAATGAGCAAGATTTGTGAATCTGCCATGCAAATTAGAATAATGAAAAAGTGCAGATCATTCTGATACTAAAGCAGCTCCATTTGGGTCCTCTGATGGAGGAACAGAGGGTCTTTCTGCCTTTGTAACAGGGAGTCTGCTGTGTACCGTGTATGACTCTGTATCTGATAAGCATCTGAGGTGCTGCTGCCTTTTCTTTGCTAATCTTGCACAAATTTTCTATTTGAGTGTATTCCTCTTTAAGGAAAAATCTACTCAGTTTGCTTAGCTTCATAGTTTTGAGAATTGGAGCTCCCTCTCAGCATGAATACATGGCAAAATTGATTTGAGAGTTGGGCATGTGATTGAAATTGGCATTTCTGAGCCTGTTCTGTAGGGGACAGCCGTCTCCCTTGAAAGACAAAATCAGTTGTGACACAGTGCCTACAGAAGCTTCAGTAAAAGAGGTCAGAGTAAATAGTTTTTATTGAAGTACTGTGTTTTTAAGAATCTGAAAGTAGACTCGCTGGATGTAGTTATGAAAGAAGTAATGCTGATGTTTTTTCTTGTTGAGATGAGAGGAT